AATAGTGGACAGCAAGAAGACCATTCCTGGCCCAGTGAGAATGGAATCAGCGAACCTAAGTAGGCTCCTAGAAGGGATGCAGCAGAATCCACTTGGGAGCTGCTATTGGTTTATAAACCATCGCCATGCCCAACGCTCAGTGAAGCCCTGCTCCCCACCCAATTCAAGACTCTACCTTGATTCTGCACCCTCAGCTCCACCAAAGGGCCCCAAGCAGCAGCTAGAACCCAAAGAGAACCCTCACTCACCCTCTCCCACTAAAGTGCCTTCTCTAAGAGCTGACCCAAGGCCCTCCCATGTTCACAGGGAGCCCAATGGCATTACATAACCCTGAGCCCAGGTCTATGAGGTGCGCTAGTCAAGTGAAGGCAAGGCGGGTGTGTTTAGAACAAAGTGGCCATCAGGATTACCTTGTCCACTGAGGTTGGGGTTTGTATAGTCCCAAGTATCCTGATCATTCTTGAACACGTTCAAGCGTGTAGGCTGTAGGGACAAGAGAAATCTTAAGATCAGCCAGGACCCAGCTCACCTGGAAGCTGATAAGCAGTCACTTCCCAGACCTACCTTCGCATATTCTATCTTCAGAGTGCAACAGCCAGAGTAGATATCAGCCCCGTTGAGTGAGGCCTTGGCCCGCTGGGCACTCTGCACAGAGTCAAATGTAAGGTAAGTTAAGGATAAGCAGCTCTTTGGAAAGGGCTTCAAGCTGGCCCAGAGATGAGGATAAGGTAGCACCCAAAGACTGTGCTACATGTGTGTTTTGGGATGTTTACTGTCACAGCCATGCCACTAGCCACTCGTATGGAGACGGGCTGGAGCGCTACCCTGGATCAATAGTCACTGGCCAGAGTTCTTTCATGATCTACACTCCCAACCCACCAGCGCAGAGGTGGCAACCTCCTGTGTCACCACTCCAGGCCAAGCCACCTTCTTCTTGAGTCCAATCCTCTCTCTCATGCTTTGACTAAGCCTGGATAATCTGTGAAAAACGCCAACCAGATTATGTTCCTGCTCTGAAAGTCCATCAGTGGCTTTCTACTGCACTGCTGTTGAGCATGCCCTATTAACTTCTTCCAATGTCCATAGAGAACCCTCTCCCGAGTCTGTTACTCTTCAGTTGGCAGGTCATTTGCTTTCTCCAACACTAAGCTCCTGACTGAGGACTTTTTAAAAAAATCCTCACCTGAGGATGTGTTGTTTTTTAAATTTGGG